CAAGGGGTCCAACACTTTCTTCTGGCTTCCCTAGACATTCCATACACAAATAAAAATAAATAAATATAAAAAACAAAAATAGACAAAGTACATGGAAAGATAACAATAATTTCTTATTATAATAGTAAAAATTAAACATTTCTGTAATTAAAAAAATCTTTATTAGGCTTTCTGAAAAGTTACCTGGCCCCTTTGTATTTCTTTCCTGCCTGATAAATTCCATATTTCTTCAGAATGCAGCTATATTTAGGGATGAAACCATTAAAGAAGTGGTTATAATAAAGTAAAGTTGAGAGAGACTTTCATGTAATATGAGTATATCCCATCAGAGAAGAATTTGGATACACAGAGACACCAACTTTATGAGCAAGCATTTAGGCAAGGCTTTGTAAAGACTGAGTGGGAATACCATCAACTGTTGGCATAGATGAGGGGCCTCAGAAGAAACCATATGATCCATCACCATTCCAGACTTTTACCCTCCAGACTTGAGGGAATAAGTTTATATGATTTAAAGTAAACCTAGCTAATGGTATTTTGTGGATGCAGCTCCAGAATTTTGAGGTACCTGTGTATGAAGGCCAAATCATAGTTTTCCATAGTGTTAGGCCTTGTGTACACACCTATTCTAACTATTCTTGTCACAGAACATGTCCAGTCATCCTAATTTTTAATGAAGCCTTATGATTTTACTCTTCCATAAATCTTATTCGTACCCTTTATAGTTTTCCAGAAAACTGTCAAGGCAAGAGGCTGGGTGACTTGACACTGTAACAGATTAAGAAAAATATAAATAACAGGTTGACACTTCCTACCATTTAAGACAATACACTGGAATACTTTTCCTTCAGTAAATCTATAATGATGATCTTTTGAAAAGATTTAACTGCATTTCAAAATTGCTCAATGCAGCCCCCCTCCAAGGAGTATAATATGAATGCTTAGAAAGTACTGTATGTAATTATTCTTTATTTCTATAGCAGATGTCAAGTCATATTACCACTGACATGTGGAATAAAGTTTTAAAATAGACACTCAGGTCTTCTAACATTTATTGCTTCTTTATTATCCATTTACATTTCTTTCTAGAGAGTGGTGTCTGAGGCTGTTTTTCCCTGTTATACAACTTGTTTTTTATAAAATCTTCAATCTAAGGTTACAGTAGTAAGGATATTTAGCCCTTTGAATAGATGGGCTAGAATCAATGAAAAAGTACATGGCTAGCTTTCTACCACAAAGATTAATAGCCAGGAAATAAATCTATATATTTGAAACTCTATCATGCTACATACTAGAAATGATACACAGAATAATAAGCTTTGGCCTCATATAACTGGAGATCCAGTTGAGAAGATAGAGTTTAGAACATTAAATGCAATTCCATAAGACTAGAGATATGGCACAGTGTAAGATCCCTTATGTCTTTCAGAGAACCTGGATTTGTTACCCAGAACCCATAACAAAAAACTCACAACTTGCTGGCATTCCAGTCTCAGGGGGATCTGACACCCTCTTCTGGCCTCTTTGAGTACTGCATACACATGGCAAGATCACACACACACACACACACACACACACACACACACACACACACCAAAATAATCAAATACACCTAAAAAAGTAAGC